AAAAAAAAAGAAAAGAAAAGAAAAGAAAAAAAAGCTAGGCCATGGATAAAATTCCAAGGAACACACATTCAAAATCAGTCTATTCTACACCTCCCATGTTTTTCTGCTGTGATTTATACCTTTTTATGGGACTGAAGTACAGGGCAATGATGCGAGGATAACATAAAAGCCTACGTGCAGTTTTTCACAGCACATTAATATCTACTGGGAAGATATTTCCGCCTATGTGAAAATAATGGATAACTACCGAAAGCTATCTGGTGGATCAGATTTTTCAGTCTGATGAAAGGCATCTCATCAGAAGTGAATGTTCCCAGGGGCGCCTGGGTGGCTCAGTTGGTTGAGATCCGACTTCAGCTCAGGTCACGATCTCACGGTTCGTGGGTTCGAGCCCCACGTCGGGCTCTGTGCTGACAGCTCAGAGCCTGGAACCTGCTTTGGATTCTGTGTCTCCCTCTCTTTCTCTCTCTCCCCCTCCCCTGCTCACACTCTGCCTCCCTTTCTCTCAACTCTGGATAATAAAACATTAAAAGAAAAAAAAAAAGAAGTGAATGCTGCCCAAAACTATATCTCTGGAGGTCCTACTACCCTTAAGGACCTGCATCATGAAGGACAAGGGCTGTGATCCTCGGTGCAGATGCCTAGTTTTACTAAAGTTGTTCTTCTGTTGGAGCTCTGGGTACCAAGTTCTCTTCACTGTTGAGAGATCAGTTTCCAGGCCTATTTTCCCCCAGAAGCCCTGTCTGTTGTTTTTAGCAGTATTTTTGCAGAACGTAAGGTTCGCGGCGATGCGTTTATGGCATTATAGAAGACATGTGTGTATCACAAAAATACACAAGGAAACAAGTCACCGTGAGCAAGTGAGCAGAAACAGCAAACTGAAGCATCAGGCCCGCAAAGAGTAGACGCTGAAATTAATCAAAAAGAGAATATAAAATTCGTACATTTCCTATGTCTCAAGAAGTAACATATGATGTGAAAGTGTGACAACGTCACCAGAAAATAACAAAATGTCTCTACAGATTTTAAATAGAGCCTGAAGGAACGTCTGGAAAGTAAAATTAACACCTGAACTTAGAGAACTTAGAGAACCCGCAGACTAGACACAGCGTAAGAGAGAATTCGTGAAATGAAAGTCATACCTGAAGGAATTCCACGGGACACAGAAGAGACAGAGAGACAGAGATGAGAAATACAAATACACTTTCACAGGCAAAGAGGATACAAAGTAGAAGTTTTAACTTGCACCTCATCATCAGAGTTCCAGAAGAAATAGAAGAAAGACGGATAGGCATGTGTGGGAAAACTCCAATCTGGAGCCAATAAATTCAGTGAATCAGAAGCAAGATAGAAAAGAAATTCACAGCTAGATGTGTTATAGTGAAATGTCAGTGAAGAACTTAGACCAAAAATATCTCCATAGTCAGCAAGAAGAACAGACATGATCTTCAAAGGGTTAACAGTTACACGGACTTCTCATCCCTTGTGACTT